TCTCTCTCTCTCTCAAAAATTAAAAAAAATTTTAAATATTAAATGTAAAATTTTTAAAAATACACACTTCTTTTGTCCCAGAAATTTCAACGTAAAAATTTACCCTTTCGGATGTGTTGTCAAAAAACATCAAATTACAAGTTCAGAGACGTCCATTCACCAGGTTTTTGTACTAGTGCAAAAGCAAAAGTGATCTGAATGTCCACCAACAGGGGACAAGTTAAGTCAACGAGGTACAATCACACAGGTGAATACTATGCAACCAAGTTTTTAATGAGCTAGAGTTGTATGTGTTCATTATGGAAAGGTCACCAAGATATATTAAGAGGAAAAGGCAAGATGCAAAACAAAATGTACTGTATCATCCCGTCCACATATGCATGATTTTTCCCCCATAGCAGATATACTTGAGAAGAAGGATTAAGGGTAAGAGATATGTAGAGGGACTTTCACTTTTCATTTTCAAACTTTCTGTACTGTTAGGGTGTTTTACTATGTGTATTACTGCTTTCATTTTTTTCTTTTTAAACAAAGGGGGGAAAGGAAGAGGGGCAGAGGGATAAGGTAGTTGGCAAACCAGGAAGATAAACCAGTGTAGGCACAACAACTCTTAGCCTGAAGAATGGTTTTATCTACAGGGTCTTCTCCCAGGGCACTTCTTTTTTTTTTTTTTTAATTTTATTTATTTATTTGACAGAGAGAGAGAGAGACAGCTAGAGAGGGAACACAAACAGGGGGAGCGGGAGAGGGAGAAGCAGGCTCCCTGCTGAGCAAGGAGCTGGATGCAGGGCTCGATCCCAGGACCCTGGGATCATGACCGGAGCTGAAGGCAGATGCTTAACGAACGACTGAGCCACCCAGGCGCCCCTCCCAGGGCACTTCTATCTTTCACTGGAAGATGCTCCTTTCCAGCAATAGAACTCAAAACCCATCTTTGGCTTTCTCGCTGCAAATAATCTAGATTCCATTGGGTCATATAAATACTCCCTAACTTTGCAAGTCTGTCCCCAAGCCTATACTTGTCATATACTGTGGAAATCATTATTCATATCACTTGCCTTCAGTGTCCTGCATCCCTGGGACGCTATTTCTCCTTGGAAAGAAGCTCTTTGGGTATACTGCTGTCAGAAGTACATTTATCGGGCGCCTGGGTGGCTCAGTTGGTTAAGCGACTGCCTTCCGCTCAGGTCATGATCCTGGAGTCCCTGGATCGAGTCCCGCATCGGGCTCCCTGCTCTGCAGGGAGTCTGCTCCTCCCTCTGACCCTCCCCCCTCTCATGTGCTCTCTCATTCTCTCTCTCAAATAAATAAATAAAATCTTAAAAAAAAAAAAAGTACATTTATCCACACTCTGGCAGGGACCCCCCT